AGGCTGCTCCCTTCTCATCATGGCCACCTCATTTCTCCCACACACACCCAGCCAGTTCCCCAGCTGGCCTGGGGGCTGCTGTGGGTGGGCGAGGACCCTTACCGCAGCCGTTTCCCGCTCAGCTCCAGACACAGTGGCAGCATCGGTGAGCAGGGGCACAGACATGGTGTTACCACACATACACTGCAAGGCTCCAGGCTGGGGCCTGTGCAAATTCAGGGGAGTGGTCAAAGCCTCAAACCCAGGGCCCACCCAGGCCGTCAGCCCCACACAGCACCCCAGGTTCTGTCCTGGGCACAAAGAAAAGGTGGGGAAGAAGTCCTGGACTAGAGCACGTAGGAAGTTTGCTTTCATTCCAGGCATGAGAAGCAGAGGTGCCCCCTCTAGTGTCCCTGGTTCTGGCACCACACAGCCTGAGCGGGCTGGAGGTGGGCAAAGGCAGGGCTTAAGGACTGTGGGGGAAGGGAGCCAGGATATCCCCTGCAGCTATCCCCTCAGCCTAACAGTCCTCGGAGGATAGCTCCCTTCTCTGGGCTCTCCAATCATCCCCCTTCTCTAGAGCCCCTGAGTCCCTTCCTCCCCCAACTCCCAGCCCTACTGGGAAATAAAAGGGAGAAAAGTACCAGGGAAATAAGCTTCCAGCCCCTACTCAACCCCCCTGCACACACACGTTTTCTCCAACCTCTCTCCTGTCCAGCCCCTAACTAGCCTTCACAGCAATTTCTGGCTTAGCCATTTCCAGTGCCCCCGGGGGCTGCCCATGTCCCCAGAAGGCACAGGGACTCCAGTCCACCACCCATCTCCAAACTGGTGCCCCACGCTCCCCTGAATGGGGCAACCTGCTGCTGCTGCCCACTGACTCCAAATGGGTCCCCGAGCTTAACCACGCTCTGAGACTCCCAAACACACAAAAGAATGTCAGGCTGGCTGGCTCCTCACCATCCTTAGCATCCTCCAAACTCCCTAGAAGCTTCTGCTACCTGCCCCGAAGTGCCTACCCTTTCCTGCAGCACCCACCCCTCCCTTCCACCCTCAGAGCACCTCTCCACAGTGGGGTCCCTCACCTCTCCCTCAAAGGAATACACCTTTCACCCTAAGCTGGGATTCTCCTCCTTCCCTACTGAGCGACTTCCACCTCTCTCACCCCACAGTCCCCCCTTCTCAGAGTGGTGCCCCACCCCCGACCTGGGGTCACCCTCTCTACCGTAAAAACTTCCACCCCCATCCAGGGTTTCCCACTCCCCACAACGGGAACTTCTGTTCTAACCAAGGGTCGCCCCCCCTTGGTGACATTTTCTACCCTGACCCAGGAAGAACGCTGCGCAAAGGGGCGTTCTACTTGTAACCCTGGGGAGCCCCCAGTCCCACAATGGGATTCCACTTCCGACCTTAAGTCCCTTCCATCACACCCGGATCCCGCTTCTTAACTCTCTTTTATCCCCAAAGTCCCCAACACTGGCCAGCGCCTCTTCGCACCTCACTCCCCACCCCCATCTCTCACAATTGCGGTTCCTCCTCCCCACTCCCCGGGACCCTCGCGGTGGCCCGATCTCCGCCGGCGCCCTCCCTCGGCCTGCCGGCCCGGGACCAGGGTACCTTCACTCCCTGGGGGTTTCGCGACCTCTCGGGCGATCCTCTTTCTCCAGCACAGGCACACACTCTTCCCCCTCCACCGCCCCCGCCGGAACTTCCGCTCGAGTCCCGGGAACCCAGCCATCCCGCTACCGGAAGTAGCCTGGCCAGGGGTACGGAACCCGGAAGTGGGCGGGCTTCGGGGCCTTCACCGGATAGGAGCTGCCATGTTGGACACGGTGGGGCCACTCCCCATAAAGCCCTGGAGCCACCGGTGGAATTCTGAGTGCTTCCGAGACTCCCATTTGCTGCTACCACCCCTGCGCCCGGTGGGGGAAAGCTACCCGGAAAGAGGCATTCCTCACACAAGAGCAGGAAGCTTCCCACCTTCCCACCCCCATGGGCCACCCTTCATCATGGTCTTGGGCATTCACCACTGGCTTTCATGCCCTAACCCAGGATCACGGATGGAATCCCCCAAGATCCTTAGAGACCATCTAGGCCTCCAGTCTTATTTAAAGATGAGGAAATTGAGGCCCAGGGAGGGGAAGTAAACACTGTAATGCTACCTCTCTGCACCTGCTTTCTGGGCTATAAAATGGTGATAATAACCACCCTGCCTACTTCACAGCTTTGCTGGTAGGCTCAAATGAGGCCATGTGGAAATGCTTAATACATTGTAAAATCAGTGTGAGGCCTTAATGACTCTAAAAAGGACCCTGGGAAAATAACATAGGTCATAGCAGGGCAGGCATCGGCAGTGTTGTCTTAGCTCTGCCCTGGAAAAGCAACGCCATGGAAAACGCACAAAATACCACCATCAATGAGCTCCAGTTATTAAGAACAAAAAGGGGTCCACTTGGGCACCACTGAGTCACCCTTTGTTCCTTGCTGCACTGGCAAAGTGGAAATGGGGACCAGGGTCCACAGAAAGGCTGGGAGGCCAACTGAGCTGAAGGACTGTGTTGCTGAGAAAACATGTGGGCACCTGCAGACAGGAAATAAGTCATGCTCACCCCTCAGCAGCTTAGGACTCATTCTTTCAGTATAACCTACACTAGTTTTTCTTTGAACCAAACACACACGCCCCAGTGAACTTGTAAGCTCAACAAAGCACTTTTTCCCACGGTAAGAGGCAGTTTGGTTTTAAGTGCTCAACAGGTCAGAGAGATGACCTAAGATACCAGGATCCCCAAGCAGGAAAGCGTCTGGTCCAGAGACCACAGCAAGCCAAGGACCCAGCAACAGAAAGGGGATGAGTGGATGAAGACAACACAGCTACTCCCACTCTCAACAGAATCCCTGCTGGATGTTACAAAAGAATGAACAACTTCTCCTGCACCTCTAATCACCTGAGACACTGTGGCACTTTGAGCAATTTTCAGAGTGAAGCTTCAAATTCAGAGGCTACCTGTGATTAGCGCTCTAATTAGTGGAATTAATGAAGGGCTGTTCTACTCTAAGATTTCTGATGTTATGTTTCCCCCTACAAATTAAAGAGTAGTCCTTTTATTTTTATCTCCAAAATGATCCAACTGAAATAAAGAGGCTGAGGAGCAGGACCCTTAGCGCATCAAGAATTGTATTTGCACTGTGGTTGATTCAGGCTGTAGTTTAGAAATGTTGAGGCTCAACAAAGCTTGGTGGTGGCAGGCTTTATCTAGGACAGGCTGGGTGAACAACGGGTATATCTCCCTAACAACAGTGTGGGCCAAACCCTAGAGGAACTCTCTCAAGATCAGATCCAACACTACTTCCCATTATCAATTGTTTCTATTTTCTGCAGGGGAGAGAATACTAACCATTTGAAATTCTCTCCTTGTAGATAACTTAAGTTTTCTCTGATTGCTGTTCTGACTTTCAAAATTTAGGTCCAGTCTTGGGCCCACCTTCAGACTGCAGGTGCTGCCCACTTACTTTCCTCACCCTCATTTCTTCTGATGAGCTCTGGAAGCTGTTCTCCCTCGTTTACACAACTTTCTTTCACGAGAAATGGAACAGAGGTTTTTAACCTCACCTTCCTCTTTACAAAATGTGAGCAGGTAGGTGGATGTAGGAGTGTTTTTAGCCTACTCTACAAAACTAAGATTGACTTTTCCTGGAAAAACTGATCTAGTCTTGATATAACTGTAGCATTTATAACAAATTTCAAAGTTAAATACAGTTCCCAGTGAAGTAAATGTTTCGTTAGTACTACCAAGAACTCAAAAGAATACACAAACATAAAGTGTGGCAAGGATTTATTAGGAAGCTTATTAGTCACAGTGAATGAAAAGCCATGACAAGAACTGAGATCTCCAAATTCTGGCACTTGCCTTACAACACTAGTTATAAGCTAATAAACATTAAGGATGTCCCGAGAAGAATCTTTCCTAAGTCCCAACCTTACCTCAACCAGATACCCACAGACATAGAAATGAGATGCCCATGCTCTCTCCAGACTGCTTACCTAGGCAGCAGGAAAGAAGACCTTCTCCTCAAGCTATTAATTAAGCATCGCCAGCAGAGTCCTGCTCTTCCAGCTACAACCATGGGACACTAGTGCATGACAGACAACTCCAAGCTGGGCAACCTGACAAGAATGCTAAACGATGACAGGGAGAAGGAGCAGGCAGGGACAAGTATTTCTAGTTGGAGATCTTCCTGATGGCTAATGTGAACACAATGCTGAGGCTTCAGAAAATTTACTGCAACCCAGGAATAGTTTCCATTAAAAAGAAAAGTCACAAAAAAATCCTGCCACAAAACAAGACACTTGGAATCCCATGGCCACACTGACTGGAAAGGCAAGCATTATTCATGACTGCCAGATACTGACCAGACCAAGACCCAATTTCTACAGGGCCCTAGAGAACCATGATTTTCCCTTGGCACCCACACAACCCTCCCCGGTGGTGTGGTGTCTTCCATAGGCCAGGTTTCTGCAGCAAGCCCCAAAAAGCAAAGCTTGGCAGAGGCTGTGGCAGCCAACTCTCTCTGGAGCCCCATCTCTTTGTCCTTCTCAACAGGCTGTCATACATCTTCACTGACACAGGGCCTCTGTGGGAGCCCTGGCCAGCCCCTAGGAAATGAAGTGTGTCTGTGGGGTAACCTGATGGACCTTGTGGTCTGCTGGGTTGGCCGATGCTTCATAATTGCAGATGGTCACCTCATGTCGGCGAAACTGCAAGAAAATTGAGAGGTGTGGTCAGCTGGCCACTTCCCAGATGACACGCTGGTGTAGTCCTTATTCAGGTCCATTTCTAGAAGTCACCATCTAATCTCTTCCCCCTTCTGACACTTTTTATATTGAGAGGCTGCAATGGTCATTATCAATATCCACCCCATAACTTAGAAGATTCATTCCCTACTTATATTAGAAGCACCATGAGGAGAGGACCTTCTCTATCTTGTTTATCATCTTATCTCTGATGCCTGGAGCAAGAAAGGTTATGAAAAATGTTGAATAAGTGTTCACTTCGGTGGCACATAATGTCTCAACCTGCCCTTTTGCTTTCCTTAAAGCTCCCAAGACCACAACCTGCAGACGGATATACATATACACACATACTGGAGAGGGCAATGACGTTTCCAACCCCATTTTACCTCAGTCCATTCTCCTCTCAGGCCAATATAAAAGACCTTTGTGGTATCTGCTCCAAAGTTTTTTGAAATATGAATTGAGAGATGATACACATTTGAAAAACGAGATATTCTAGAGGATGAAAGGAGTGGGGAGAGAAGACAAAGGTTAGAGTTCAATGTTCAATCAGCATCTCACCACACTGTCAAAAACAATCCCAGCTCCAACTTGGGGTAAAACCCAGGCAAATGTCAGGGAACATTCTTGGGATCTTACGTCTCATTCTTCTCCTTTGAACAAGCAATTAATTCTGTGAACATTTACCTAGCATTTCCCAGATCCTGTCCAAGGCAACAGGGAAAGAAACGTGAATCAACACTACCCCTGTCAAAAGGGCAGGGTTAAGAAATGCTATATGACCAAGCAGATATTATGTGAGTTCAGTGTTGGCCTCACCTTAGAAAATAAGAAATAAGGTGGTCACATGTAACTTGGCCTGCTATAAGCCAACTATGCACACAGGAATTCTGAAAACATCTTCCCTAAGACCATCCTAGGAGCTCATTCAGATCTGCCAATTTGCTTACAAG